CGCTTTCCCTGAAATTCAGAAGAAAAAAAATGCAACAAACCTAGAATTCCTATTCAAGTACTGAACTAGTAATACAACAGATAAGTCAGCATAGCGTTTTGTTGGACAGGAAAGGAAAACGACACTCTAAGTGTAATCTCACAAGAAAATGCCAAGTAATTAATGAAAATCGAATTCTAGATGCCGATGATCTGCACTTGTGATTATGGATAAAAAGTGAGGATTCACAAATTATATTAAGCAACTAGTTTGAGTTTCATCACCTTTATATATTCAAGAGGCAGTAGATTTCTGAGAGCAGCACAAAGAGTAGCCATTTCTTGCCTCCTTTTTCTCTCAATATCTCTATGAATGGCTCTTTTCTGCTTGCTGTCATCATGGTTGACCCCACTATCATGATTATCAGCTCGAATAGCTGATGACGACTTCCGCTGCCTTTTCCCTGCTGTGTTGATTTCCTCAGTGTTCTGTTGACATGCCGCAAGTGAAGATGCACCCTGAATTTCCAGATCTTGATGACAGATTGTGGGTTCTAGATAGGGATGAATGGTAGGAAAAAGCAGCGAATCATCTTCATATAAAGGAACCAAATTAGCAGTATAGTCATCCATGTTCAGATAAGTGCTCTCTTAGGTTAATATTCTGCTGATATGATAAACTTGCCAACTAGGGAAACGTTTGTTAGGGTGATTTGATACGGTGGGATCTCCCATATAGGACAAGGATTCCCAGATTCCTGCAATATGTTCATAAACAAATGCTACGAGAAAATAGGATTGAATAGTGCTCCATTCTCACCTGCCATTTGTTTTAATATTGTTGTCGATGAGAAGTTCAATCCCCAGGTGTGCAATTTGCCAAGCAAAGCTTAAAAAAATGGCAGTTGAGAATGGAGCACTACTCCCTATTTTCTTGTAGCGTAGTTTCTCAGGCAACTTTATGAATTTAGTTCCCATCAACCTATTATTGGATGATCATGCTATAACGGTTTTATTTAGGATACAAGAGGTGGTGTTTGATGCCCACATCTCTTTTAGAAAATGTGCTTCACAAGTTGAGTTTTATCGACTCAAATCAAATCTGTTGATTTAATTCTTATAACTTTTGATGTAAATTCATACAACTTGAATATAAACTACATCATGATTGCACTAAACACGTACAAATTTATACCAATATAGTAAGAATTATATGAATCAGTTTGACCAACTCAACTTGTGATGCTCTAAATCTTAGGACACAGTAGAAAAGCTCATGAGGTAATGTCATGATAAAGTTATAAGAAAATGAAAATTTAAGCCTTGTTTAGATTGTGAGTTTTCGCAAAAAATTCCTAGATACATTTCTTGATCACCTTTTAACTCACATATACTTACATCAATACAGTATACTTTTCTACAAAAATTTCAAAAATTTGAAATCCGAACGGACAATTGGTATCTTGATCCCCATGTTTTCAACTAGCTCTAACTCAACATCTAGTCTGTATCCTACTTCGAACTCATTTATCCTCCTCCAATTTCAGAGTCATCTAGTCATCTACAACTTCAATTTAACATATTTAGTCTCCTATATTTGTTCGACAAACAATTTTTAGAATGCATTCAAAGTATCTTTACATCCTGAATTTAAAAATGGAAGTATCTAAATAAGCACTTGTTTCATGATTGACATGAAAGACAAGACATCTCTAAAACACTACAAGCTTTCAGTTATTAAACCCTGAAAGAAATTTTTTGGGAATAGAAGTTGGAAAGGAGCCAGACAGCAATAAAGCAATAGCCACCCTGAGATAGTAGCATCTCCCGACATGTTTAAATACTCTAGCGAAGCTTGTTGGTGTCTTTAAACAAGAGAAGTGCCAGAGAACAATCCTAATCCATTTTTAGATGAACAGTGGGATAGTTGGAATTGCAATTTGCAATGGCATCGATTTTATGCCAATAGTATAATACATCAATTATGAAGGGATTAGGCAGCTTCATATCTTCCGCCTGACAAGCAAAATCCGGAACCCATTGTTTATAAATTATTATGCATGGCTTTATCTCACATGGCTTTTTGTACAAAAGGAATTTCTCCCTTGGTTGGTTATAAATAGAGTGGACCTGTGATGGGATTAAGTACAACAAACCAAAAGAGTTTTAGTGGGCTATTTGGATCTTTATATCATTAAGTATTTTGTTTAGTAAAATATTTTTGAACTCTCTTGTGTTTTAATTAGGTGTTTTGGTTTTAGAAACACTTTTCTAAGGCATTTTTGTACTTTTTTTCTTCATAGTAATTGCTCCTCCTTCATTTATGGACATAGATCAATTTGACCGAACTACGTAAATTCCAAAAACCCTTTTGTTCAATTTACCCTTTGGTGAATTTTTTGAGATATATGATGGCCACGTATAATCCTAAGATTACCACGTAAGTTTCAAAAACCCTTTCGTCAATTTTTTGACATATATGATGGCCATGTATATTTCTGGAATTGCCAAAAGCCATTTCGTCAATTTCCTGGAGCCAGACCTAGCATGTACGATAGTTCAGGCCGACAAGCTGATAAAGGATATGATATGTAAACTGTCCTCCTGCCACCTTCGTGGATCCTTCACGAACTAGCATTTTCATCTTTCTTGGCTCTTTCAAGGGTTCTTTCTTATTTAATTTATTCATTTGTCATTATTGGTTTATCAATTATCACACATCGACAGTGAAAATAACAAGGTAATTGTTTGGATTGGGCTTTATTTCCCTAAATTTATTTGCTTACATCATCATTATAATTTTCAATACACCTTTTTACCTTCCCAATTACCTTTTTATCGCACATACATCACATCACAAAAAGTGCTACAGTAAAAATATCTCTAATAATTCACAATCCAAACAGGTCATTTTAGTATGTGACTTTTTTTTATTCTTTACAAGTACATAATAATTGTTTAGGATTGCCGTACACTAAATATGGAGTTTGTTAAGAGGTAATTTGCTTTAAATAAGATGGGTCTTCAAATCTAATTTTGTCGCGGTATCAATTTTTGGTCGACCGAGTACGTCCAATAATTAACCACTGTGCCAATGGCTCAGTGGTCACCAAGGAGGGACTTAAATCTCACCAGCAGCGAAAAAAAATCTAAGGGTTATGCCATAACAATTTCTTGGTCTAGTTGGGTCTGTATACCCACTAGCTCCTACAACAGCCTCCTTAGACTCCCTCTCTCCCTAAATTAGGATACAATAGGTTATACAAATGTATCGTTGCTGACAAAAAAAAAAAAAAAAAAGAGTACGTCCAATAATTGGCTTCTAATCATGTGTGGCCCATTCTCCGACAGTCAAAACACCCATATGAATAAATAATGCTTAATAGACAGCTGTGAAAGCTTGACCGGGGCAGTGGCATCTAACAGAAAAAAACCCACCAAAAATTGGGGTTAATTACACTTTCCTCCCATGAAGTTGGGCCTGAGTGACATTTTGCCCATTGAATTCCAAATACATGCATTTCACCTTCTGCCGTTAACTTTTTAACAAGTCAAAAGGACGTTATATTTTGCATGACCAAAATGTCCTTACTTATTTTGAAGCGTATGTAACAATCGGGAAATTAACAAATGACCATTATTTTAACTGTTGCTAAGTCGATTTGATCACGATTACACTATATATTTGATTTAAATATAGCTTAATGATAGAAGAGCTCAATTACAGCAACCAAAAAATTAAGAAAGCTGCACAAAGTGCAAAAACTCATAGTGTTCATTTTAATGTAACCCAGTGTTCAATTTTTGAGGAATAAATATTATTCAGCAAGGTGCAAATATAGCGTAAAAAAACACCCATTTGCACCTCATTAACTCATGAGAATCCTAAAGAGTGCTTATGGGATGATTCATTTGAAAGGTAATTAAGTAAAAATTACAAAGACTAGTTGGTCGATAATTTAGAGATAGAAAGAGGAGTGACATAAAAGTAGTGTGGAAGTTTTAGAAGTTTTTCTAATTATTGCCCTACAACTATTCACCAACTAACTTGTATTCAACAATCTTTTTATTTCATTATAATTTATTTTTTTAAATGTCATCTTACAAAAGTATGATGCTTTCCTCTAAAAAGGCACTCCATATTCCTGCCTAAAGCATTGTCCTCGCAATCATTATCTATGGTTGTTAATGTCATTTCATCATTTTTGTTTGAAGGAAAGGTTATCTCTAACATTTGACTGGTCAACACAGGTGGCATATGCATATATTTCGAAGTTCATAGACCAACAAAGTGTAGCTAAGCGCCAAATTCAAGAGGTTAAAGTGTAACTAATCCTAATTAATCAACTTGCTTTGGAATGGGGACTTTCTTTTACTTGTTTTGGTAGTATCGCTGTGTAAATGCATAGGTAGATGTATACCTGAGAAATATACTCTTGTGTACTCCTTACATGTTCATATCAACAATAATAAGTTACAATTTTGCCTCAAAAAGAAAATCCAAATTAATCAAAATCCATTGTCGTCAATAATTTATCCATACTATGTACCATTGAAAATCACCCTAGCCAAAGTCCAAACCATTTTTTTTTTTGATTTGAAACAAATTCCAGACCTTAAAATGCTCACTAAAACAAAATAAAAAACAGTGTACTTCTTCCATTATGAGGTCAAGGTTACTTCTCATTCAATCAAACATCAAATATTATTAGTTTAATACTGCATTTTGTTTTATATGGTTGTAGGTGAGAAGTTGGATGCTCAGGTTTGAATTTAATTGCCTGTGGGATTTCGTTGTGCACTCGTACAGTAACCAAGAAAGCTTTAAAAAAACGACAGGTGAGAGAGGGGTACTAATCAATCCGATTTTATGCTATTTGTTTATGAAGATATTGCAGGTTCTGGGAATCCTCAGCCCATTTGGAAGATCTCATTGCATCCAATTGCCCTAACAAACGAATCCCTATTTTGGCAACTTCATCATATTACAAAATATTAACCTAAGAAAGCAGTTGGCTAAACATGGATGACTTTACTAAATATATGTTTCCTTTACAGCATGATGAAATTTTGTCATTTGCTCCAATCCCAATCATTCATCCCTATTTAGACCCCACAATCCATCATCAAGATCTGGAAAATCAGGGTGCATCTTCACTTGCTTCACATCAACAGAATACTGAGGAGATCGTCATTAATAACCACGTCAACAAGGCCTGGAAAAGTCAGCGAAAGCCAGCATCAGCTATTCGAGATGATCAGAATGTTAAGGGGAGGAACCCTGAGCAGAAAAGAGCCTTTCATAGGGATATTGAGCGTCAAAGGAGGCTAGAAATGGCTAACCTTCACGCTTCTCTCAGAAATCTACTTCCTTCTGAATATATAAAGGTGATGAAGCTGTAATAGCTAATTAGTTTAATCGTTGAATACTTGGCATCCTTTCGTTAATTTCATGGCATTTGCTTTGTGAGATTATACTTAGCATTTTTACTGTCTTTTACCACCCTTACACACCTATTCCTTTGTTCTCCTGCTGTCCAACGACGTACAGTGTTAAATTATTTATTCCATCCCCAGTATTTTAGTTCTATAAGGATTTAAGATTTCTTGGAATTTTTTTGTTTTTAGGGAAAACGTTCGATGTCAGATCATGTTCTTGAAGCAATAAACTATATAAAGCACATGGAGAAGAATATTGGAGAATTGGAAGTAAAGAGGGATAAACTGAGAAACTTAACGGGTGAATCGAGCAATCTAGACAGCAAAAGAGTTAATGAAACGAACTCCTTGTCTATTACGTTCACAGTGGAGCCATGCTCGGGTGGTGGATTTGAGATTCTGATGAAGAATTACTTGACAGATAATAATTGGTTACCTCTTTCAAGGATACTGGATGTGCTGCTTGATGAAGGTATAACTGTTGTTAACTGTGTCTGCACCAAAGTCAATGAAGAATGTCTTTACACAATCCAAACTGAGGTACGATTATGATGAATTAGTTTAATTAGCTTCAAGGCAATAACTGGTTTTTGCTTCCTTGTTATTCACATAGTTCGCATCATGTTCTTGCAGGCTACTCATATGTCAGATGTTGATCTAATTTCTCTGCAGGTAAAGCTGACTGAAAAATTCATGGCTTGTAAAAAACTTTGGGTCGTAGAGCAACACTAGAATTGGTACTCATTTTTATGAACACCAGAAATTGTAAACGTTTCAAGAAATACAGGTTTCTAATGATTTCCCGTGTATCAGTGTCCTGTTTGTTTTTACCAGGTTCTCATCTAGTAAAAGAAAAACACAAGAATAGGTAAGTTAAGGACATGTTATGGAATCCAGAATTTTTTCTAATTGAAATAAAACTCCTCTTCTTGGTCTTGATTAATCATCTCTTCTAGTTTTTTTGTTAGTACTCTTTTTGTTAGTGTACCAAGAAAAATATCTTCTGCACATCCATATCTTCTTCTAGCATGTTTCTTTTGGTAAACTACATATGATAGGTTCTGATATTCAAGATGAAATGATAAATTTCTCCATTCTTTCCCTTCTCATCACGGACCATCCTGTGAGTAGTCAATGTAATTGCTTCGTGCATGCATTTACCCTCCTTGAAGTTTGATAGATAAAGAAGAAAGAAATTCTACCAGCATAATGTGAAGTAGGAGCAATTTGTTGTGTTGACGTGTACCGCCAGCTGAGTTCATTGAGTTAGTTTATTAGGAGGGCGTAAAGTAATCACCATTCACGTATTAAGACAAATACGTCAAGTGAATTGCACAGTTTAGGCTACAAAATATTCTAACCATAGTTGAAAAAGATTGACAGAAGATAATCTCAAAACTTGATTACTTGTAGTTGAATATACAATTGGAATATGTGTGGAGAAACATATTGTAAGGTACAATTTTCTGCTTAGCTCGAATGAACCTACAATACAATTCAATAGAACTCTTTTCTCCCACTGATTTGATGTTTCTTTCATTGCTGCTTAATAGCCATCTATATGTATATGTCTTCCTTTGTATAGTATGCTAGACTATGAAAATTTGAGTACCAACTATAATTTTCATATGAGTTAGAAAAAGCACCCTTCATATGATGCTTAACTTCCCAACACCATAAGCTGTATGCTGGAAGCTGCAGTCTATAAATAGTAGGGATGCTAGAATTTGGTTGATTGACCGCTTGCTGGGTAGAGATTAGAGAAAAGGAACTGGCAGTAGAGGAGAAGGGGTATAAAGGAAAAAATGCTTAACATCCTAAATATAGTTTGAGGTAGCACTTCATACGTATACTCCACGTTGGAAGTGATGGATGTAGCTGTCATAGCGGTAATATATATCTGCCTCCTTTTAAATGCTCTATGCATGAGAAGAAGAAGTCCTTGTGCATTTCTTTAAGACTTGAAGGTATCTTGTTGCGTGAAGAAAGTTCTTGTATGGTTAGATGTATGTTGCTCCTGTCAACCTTGTGTTGATGGAAGACAGGTCTCTCAATTGAGTTCTATCTAATTCAATTTAGTTAATGTAATGCTTACAACATTTAGTTTAAACTTATACAACTTTAATATAATTATAAATTTTACATAAATTTAGTTTTATGAGTTGATAAATTTTATGATTATACCAAAATTATACAAATTTACACCAATATTATAAGAATTACATTAATTAGAATTGATCAAAATTCAACTGGAGAGGCTTTGAATCCATGCTGATGAACCAAATTTAGGTACTATTTGTTTTGAGGGAATATGAGGAAAAAGAAAGGAAATGGCATGGAGAGATAAGGTTTCTGATGCTTGAATTGATTTTTGAGGAAAATGAAAGGATAAGGAAGAAAAGAAAAAGGATAAGGTCTAATTATTTTTTGTCAACATGCTTTCCATGGGCAAAAATGGAGGGAAAGAAAATAAAGATTAATGACAATTTTGAAATTTCCTATAAAAACTTATTTTTTTACAATTAAACTTTTAAATTATGGATAAAATGTAATTAATGCACGATAGTGTCATTTCCTTTCCTTTCCTTTCCTTTCCTTTCTTTCCCTAATCCAAACAATGTTTTCAATGTTTCCTTTCCTTTCCTTCCATATTTAATCCAAATAAGATAGATGGAATTCGACTTTTTCTACTAGATATCATCTCCTTTCTTTTTCTAGAGTCCTCCTCTTTTCTTTTCTTCTCTTTCCTTCAATGCAAACAATTAAGTTAAATTTGTTTAAAAGACCATTTTTCCATTTATTTCTAGTTAACTAATACTTAGATTTTTCTTTCTTTCCTCTCTTTTCCTTCTCCAATTCAATCAAAATTTCACTACTTTCTTTCTTTCCTTTCATATTTAATCCAAACAAGATGACTGAAAATCACTTTCCTCGACTCTCATTTTTTTCTTTCTTCTTCTATCATTCTTTTTTTTTTTCTTTTCCCTTCCTTTCCCACAATCCAGATGGTGCCTTTGAGAGTTAGAAATGCCTATAAACCATAGATTAGTTCTAATATAAATCAATCTCTCAATCTAATACTAATGTTATTCCTAAATTTTAGATATCCCTCAAAAATGATTATATGTCCGATTTCCTAAAATCTTAGGTATTCATATTGTGCATGTGATTTTGAAAATCATAGCATCTATAATGCAACTATTGTCCTTTATTATAATAGTGAAATTATGTGATTGGGTAATAGCCTTCTAGCCTTTTTTTTAAGAGGGTTAATTTAATTCTTTTTTTTCAGTTTTGTAGGTTGCTTTTGAAACATGTTAAACGGGAATGTCTAACAATATTTAGTTTGTACTATCTTTTTTTTCCCTGTTGTTGCAAAATGTTTTATCATATTGCCATTTTAGGATAGAAGTACTAAGGACAAATTGATTCCCTTCTAGAAATCCCAACAACAACTACAGAACGTCGCAGTATTCAGCTAAAAACAAGGATTTTTGATCAAATTAAACAAATAATACTTGTCAAAATCACTGAATAGTTGAGACTTATATATGTGGAATCATCGCAGTATCATGATGCAGAAAGGTGAAACGCCTAAACAATCCCTAGTGCGAGTAGAGTATACATGTATAGACTTGTTTCTCGGCTGGTATAAATTTAATTCTCATCAACTTATTATTGGGTAATTGTAGTGATTGTGATAATTGATAGAGAATTAAGAACAAGCGAAAAGGAAAGAAGAATAGGCCGAAGAATTTGAGAGAGAGAGAGAGAGAGAGAGTAACAGAAAGAAATAAGAGGGAGATTTTCTTGTTTATTCATCAGAGGATTGATGAGGTTCTACCATGCACCAATTTTAATAAACCTAAATACCCCATTTTCTGCAAGTATACAAATCGTTTATCGAGTATAGGGATATTAGGTGTCAATCCCATAGAAAAGATTGTCAATTACTGATGGTTTTCGAATTCCTTTATTATTTGGACTACCACAAATGCAAGAGATTAAATCTACACTACAAATATGAATAAAAGTAACAATAGAAAGCTCTTAGGGCTTTGGAATTCCTCACTATTCTTGCAAGTGAAATTATTAGTTAATTGAATGTTATTATCTTGATTAGTTATAGCGTAATTCCTAATTTATGTGAAACTTACTTTCGTAGTAAATCAACTATACTTGCAACTAAACCATACCTATTCTCGTGATTATGAAATTAACCACAAACTCATTTCTTCTATAAAACTATATGGAACAAGCAACTAAAACCACAAAGGTGCACCTCTACTCTCATGAGTATACTTCCTAAGTTTAGCATTTTCTTGAACTAATGTCAATTCTCATTGCAAACTTAACACCTTAAAATTATCATAATTAATAACCAGTTAATCATGATTAGATAAATAAAAGTGATAAATAACTTGTTCAAAATAATAGCATCAAATAACCAAATAAATATCACAAACAAAATATAGAAAGTTCATCCATAACTCTAGACATAAACTTTAACTTTAAATAAATTAAAGACATAAAAACAAGATCCAAACTTATATTATAACCAAACATTAGAATCAATACAAGAAATAAAGTGATAGGGGAAATGTCACCCTTATTACATGAGTTCCAACTCTCCATCTTTATCCTTAACTTCATCCAAGTTTAGCTACTACAAGAGTAGATGAAAACTATACTACTCTATACTAAACTAAAAAACTAAGAAAAACTAGTGAAGACTACATTTTGGTAATGTTTCTAGCCATTCAAAGTTATGAAACTATGTCTTCAAACTCCCTATTTATAGATGAATTCAAACTCCAAATGAATTGTTAAAGTTGATGTAAAATGCTCTTGAGATTCCTAAAATATTCTTCTACAAGTCTCCATATTTTTCTTTACAATTGCAGTCGAAATTCTGAGCTGAAGATATGTTGAAAAAACTGTATAAATGTAGAACAAGTTATTGTGCAAGTTGTAGATTCAATTGAAGAATGCACACCCTAGAATACACACCCATGAGGTCACGTATTGTGGGTGTGTTTTGCCTTCACTGTAGGTTTGCTCTTTTTTGGTTAGTATTCAACTTTGCTCTATTTTTGCATCAATTTCAACTGACATTTTCTCGATAATGGAGGCTGAATTAGCTCTTTTACAAAACATGAAAGTTGTATCTCTTTGAGTTATCCTTTCAATATTTCAATAATCACCTAATTTAGAGATCTGTAGACCAATAAATGACCAAAATACCCTTGATTAATCAAAACTCTGTTTCAGCTTTTGACAACAGAAATGACAGATTGTATTTCAACCTTTTGACTAGAAAAACTCATGAACTGGATTTCAATGTCTCGTAAGAAATGTAGATCTATGTCTTAACTTCAAAATGGATCAAGAATCACCTCAGTCCAATACTTTTAGCTCAAAATATAACTGAAATACCAAAAGGTGTCAAAGCTATCAAACATTTCTTCTTTTTCACTTGATTGTATTTCATCTTTTGAACATTTTGCACTTCATATTCTCTTTAAATCATTTCAAATTATCAATACTCATCCAAATATCTTCTCAATCCACCATTTGATGATTAAATCATTGAAACCTACCAAAATATGTAGTTTTCACCACTTTAATCCATAGAAATGCAATTCATTACACTTAGACCACAAAATGTCAGTTTCACTTGAAACCTAGTTAATTAGCTATAAAAATAAGTAAAACATACTAAAATTAAATAATAAAACACATTTAAATCACTCAAAATGCACACTTATCAATGATTTTTCAGAAATACAATTAGCTCTTATTTATACAAAAATCAGAATCTTCTTGTTCAAGTTTCTAACTAACCA